GGAAAAAAAAAAAAAAAAAAAAAAAAAAAAAAAAAAAGAAAATTCAAATTCTAAAGCTCTATATCATACCCAAAAGTATAACCTTTCTGCTAATATTTAATAATTATTTTCTCAGGTAAATATATGTAAAATAATCCCTATTATATCTATATCTAGATCCAAATTTTCAGAAATTATTAATGTAATTAGTAATAGAATTGTGCTTGTTTTTTAGATTTCTTCCTATATGTTATTCATAGATAGTACCTATATAATAAAACTATTTGCAGTATGTCATTAAATCTCAATCATTAGGGAGATACATATGGACACACTCACAAATTCCTTTGGGGTCAAGCCTGATACCACCATGGATATCCTTTTGTTGATCCCTTCTGTTGAAGATGTCAATTCTGGCTTCTCCCTGCTTACATTTTCTTCGCTCACATCATACCCAGCCATATTGGTAGTATGAGGAGCTGCTGGACTGTTGGCAGACTCTGCAACTTGAGCTTGGGGTAATTTCAACGCAGAGTTTGAAGGTGGCATGCTGCAAATGTGAGCTGACCCTGGGGCTTGGTCTGCTGGGGGATCAGATTCAGGGTCATCAGAGAAGAGGCTGATTCCAGATTCCAGGTAAGGGGTTCCTTCTGAAAGAAATGGGAGAAGAAATTTAATCTACATGACAATGAATCTTGAATTACAATGTTCCAGCCTCTGCTCAGAATTAAAAAGACCAAAGAAGTTAGGTTAAGAGATAAATGGGTACACGGATAAACTTGGTGAAAGTGCAAAGTGGTTTCAACTTTTCTGAAGGACAATATGGCATTATGCAGCAAAAGCCATAGCATGTATTTACACTTTCAGTCAACAATTCTAGTTTTAGAAATGTATCCTAAGAAAATAAAAGATGTAAGCAAAGGTTTAGTCATAGTGATATTCACTAGAACATTGTTTATAATAGTATAATTTTAGAAACAACCTATATGTCCCATAATAGAAGATTAAATAAATTGTGATACATTTATCCCAATGGAGTACTGTTCACCTATTATAGTTTGAATATAAACACTGATATATAATAAAAAGAAATGTTTCTAATACATTAAAGAAGATGGCTAAGAAATATTATTTATTGTGACTATATTTTAAAAATAAAAGTTTAAATAAAATGATAAAGAAACATAGCAATATTTTATTGTTAACTGACAAGAATATAGGTAATTTAAAATATTCCTCTTTTTTATTTTTTATATTGTCCAGTTTTGGGGCAATGAACATATGATACTTTTGTAAGACAGGAAAAAAAGGTTGAAAACTATGGCAAATAACTATTTTTTTGTTTGTTTATTGATGACATCATTACCTTTTCCACTTAATAAAACAACAGATATCCTTAGCAAATTAAAAAGAGCAGAGGCACCATTCCTGAAACATTTCAGAAAATGTCACTGTATCAGGAATTAAGTGCAGCTAAGTAGAATGTATGAGATTCATAAAATGACCCTTATGAACATGGCCAAATACCACATTTGATGCCAAACAGTACCTTTCATGATGTGTTTTTGAAGATTAATTATAAACTTTCTTTACTGATTAAAACTTTGATTTACAAGTCATAAAACAAACTACTCATTAAAAGTGATTTATAAGGCATAAAATATATAGTCATTTATATTCATAAAAGAAGAGCTTGCTCTGGGATTTGGCTCATTTTTCAATAAAAGAGGGTCCTAAAACTTTATTTTAGGGACTTCGAACCTCTAACAGTTGACTTAAAATACTTAGAGTGCACCAAGACTCTCCCATCCTCAAAAACATTAGTTAAACCAATATGGACAGGTTAACGGCTGTAATAGCTTTCAAGTAAACTTGGATTAACACTTTATTTATTTATTTATTTTTTAAAGATGACCGGTAAGGGGATCTTAACCATTGACTTGGTGTTGTCAGCACCACGCTCACCCAGTGAGCCAACCGGCCATCCCTATATGGGATCCGAACCCGTGGCCTTGGTGTTATCAGCACCACACTCTCCCGAGTGAGCCACGGACTGGCCCAACACTTTATTTTTTTAAAGTGGGCTCAAGTATAACAGAAGCATCCATACAGACTAGTACATCTGAAAGTTGATTAACTAGAATATCTTTAG